GGGGCGCTCACTAGGATCGGGAACTTCCGTCGAGTCTGCTCTGAGGAGCTCTGCAGTATAGCCACTACCACCCTAGTTTTACCAGTGCCCGGAGGACCCTGTAGGAGTACAGCCCGTTTAGAAGCGTCACAGGCGTAAGCCAATGCCTTGCTCTGACCCTCGTTAAGTGCATATGAAGTCGACGGCGTAAGGAGGTACTCACTACTGCCCTCCTGAGCTTCAGCAGCTGCGGCCTTCGCGGGGTTCAATACGATAGGGAGGAGCTTCCGAGCCGAGTCGATACTCCACAAGGCCTCCCATTCCCTGCTCACAGCCAGAATACTGTGGACAACAACAGCAACACTCTCCCGTCCCTGGATGCTCTCTTGAGGTGAAAGGCCGAGAGGGCAGGCCGGCCCCACTGGCATGCACCGTAGCACCACTTTACCCTTATCAGCCTTCGACCCCGAATAGTTCAGAGCGTCCTTAGTCCCCTCACAGACGCCCATGATAATGCCGTTCTGACTAGCCGCCTCCATGCTCATACACTCATTCACAGGTACACCCCTACAGAGCTCGGACAGGAAAGGGCTGTCGGCGCTGCACAGTAGAAGTACATCTCCTTGAGTAACCGTCTCCGTATCGAAATCAGCCGGTTTGATGACAAGCTCATACCATTCGTTGCCCCTCCTAGCAGACCTCAGTACTGTGACGTGTATCATAGTGCTCGACCCAGGGGTAGTGAGAGATTGACGCAGACCCTCCTGACACTCCAGCCACATCGGCCGCTTGAATGCCTCCCTATACGCCTTAGGGGAGGTGAAGACCTTATCGCCATTCGTAGCGCCGACACCATCAATCTTATCCTCCTGTCCCTGCACCTGGCCAAAGGGCTGCTGACTCAACACCAGCTTGTACAGAGCATCCAAAGGGGCCTCCACTGCCTTACTGGTGTCAGGGGCGCCCTGGCCCTCCTCTCGTCGCACCGCAGCGCTACCCATACCACCCTTAGATGCCAACATGCTCGACTTGAACATCATACTACCGCCGCCACCCCTTCGTACCTCCCCTTTATAACCTGCCATAGGGTTGTCCCCTTCCTCCAGTTCCAAATCAGAGCTGCTAGGGGAGCCCGTGTCTGTGGTCTCCTCCCCCCGAGAAGGCTGATCCTGCCGTGCCTCGTCCTGCAGCGATCCACCAGCAGCAGCGACTTCGAGACACTCACAAGTCGAGTCCAGCAGCCTAGACACGTGCT